ATAGAACGCGAGAAAATCGAGTTTTTCTAAAAAAAAAAAAAAATCGCGAAAATCGACTTTTCGATACATGAAATCGATGCGTCTCGTCGCGCCCTTTACGAATCTGGGCGTATTTTTGCGCTAGGACGCATAGAACGCGAGAAAATCGAGTTTTTCTAAATTGAAAAAAAATTGCACCTATATATCGGAAGCACCCTTCCTCGCCGCACTGTTTAGCTATAAATCTCGCATTCCACCTTAGTGGCATCTGGAATATCTCCATGCACTTTTCGAATTAAAAAAAAAAGAATGAAAAAATTTGTCGGCGCCCTCCAAAGCCCCACTGTCTGATGTTGCCCTTGTTTCCAGCGGTTGCCGTAGTTAGCGACAAGGCATCGCTTGAGATCAAGGTTCGGGTTTTGTCCGCGGAGTAGGAGGGCGTAAAGTTGTCAATTGCGAAAAAGTTCCCTCCATCCGGGCCTTAATCCTCTCTGATAAGGACTAGTACTTTAGAAACGCGCTACACACGCCCTTCAAATCGTTTCCAACTTATCATGTGCTATCTTTAATTCAATGACAGAATAAAAATCACCAGATAGTTGTTATCGCATATCTTGCACGATATTTAGAGCGGTAACCTTATGTCATAACTCACGAACTTTCATGAGGATCCAGTAATTTTTTTGGTGAATTCGTTTAAAGTTTTAGAAATCTTTTAAAAATCCCGAAAAAATTGCGTAATTAAATCCCAAGCCTCATTACTACACACACGCATTCTTTTCTAGAATTTCAAAAATTCTACCCTCAATCTCAGAACAGCTGACACTTCTTTGCAGTGGGATAAATTTTTCCGGCGATTGTAAGGTCGCCTGGGCGATCGACAGCGTCGATGCTGTCCGTATTGACAGCATTTCTTCATCTCCAACTGCCAAGAGGGCTCAGTAAAAAAAAACTAATGCACCAGTAGATCCAATAAGATCCAACTGAACCGAGAGGTCCGACACAACTGACGGCAAAACTTTGAGACGTTTTTCGTCGACCAATATAAACTTTCAAGGCGTTCGAGTCATCCCATTGGTAATTCGTGGGCAGATGTGTACAAATGCAGTGGAAAACTCATCTATCCCTCCTACTTTCATCCTCGAATGATGTATAATTAGTTCTCGGGAATACGCGAAGGCTATAGGTGATGTTGGCCCAAGCCACTACCAAAATATATAACGGCTGTTACGTTTTGCATTCCCCACAATCAACTTCCGTTTCACGAGACTCGTCAGGTGGACGATTACTCCACGATTGATCGAGAATAATTTTTATTCAATCGTCATTTAAATCAATTATGATAATTCACTCACTCTTTTCGTCCTCGTAGTCGTCCCTGTAGAGCACTTGACCATCATCCGAGCCATCAGAATCCTCACGGATGACGTAGGGCCTGGCGTTCTCCTTGTTCTCTAAGGTGCAGGGTAGGGCGAGACCGAACCTCACTGGTCGACTGCTGTTAAATGAATAATTCACATTTAAATCCATCGATAATCGAGAGCTCAATGAGTTCGAATGAAGGAAAATGCTCGAGAAAATGTCGGAAGAGCATTGATGAAATGTTCATGAGGATAATGAAGCATTGGAGCATTTTTCCTTCACCAGGACTCGAGGGGATTGACAAAGTGGATCACCTGGAGAATTGAATATAAATGTGTTAATTTCCAAATAACATTTTTCGAAATGATATTTCCATAGTTTAAATTTTGACGATTTATTTCGTTAGCAATATTTTGAGCAATAATATTTAGTCGTATTAATCAAAAATCGTTCCGAACAGCTGCTCCACTTGATTGTAGAACTCGTTATTAAATATCTGGGATTCATGCGAAGCAAAATTAACGTAATTAACGTAAAAAAATTACCATATTCTCACCCTAGGCCTTAGCGGTGGCCTTCTGCAGTCAAGCATAAAGTAAAATAATGATTGATTTACTACATGATTGATTATGAAAATGAGATGAACAATGACTGAATCATCTATTGAAAAAAATATATTGTCCCACGACTCACTTGAACGATGCGTGGAGCTCCTGACGAAGGGTGAGAGGACGATTCTCCTGGGTTGGTGTGTTCTGGGGTGTGCCAGGACCACTTCCAGAGCCCTTTTTCTTCAGTGCACTCTTCAGGGGCATTGCGTGAAATTTTGGCTCTTTGGCTGGTATCTCCTCGACTCGTGATGTGTCGATACTTGGATCGGGCTGGGAGTAACGAATCTCGTAGAGGTCCACGTCGTCGTCCTCGACGTCCACCTCGTCGTCATCTAATGTGATAGATGAGTGTGATTTTCGTTGACATCACTGGGAAAATGCTTTCTTGGACTTACCGTCATCCTCGCAATCAGATAGTGGCGCTTGCTGCTGCCTCTGTCTTGCTAGCAATGTTGGTGAGGGTGAGCTGAACATCGGAGGTGGTGGAATGGGACCGATTTCACTCAATGGAATCGGTGGCTCCGGCAACTCCGAGAGCATCAGGGTATTGTGGGGTGGCATCGGTGACATGTACCTGTCAATCGCCTGCTGCTCCTCAGCTGTCGGCTGCGACATTCCCTTTTCCACTGAAAAAAATTCAAATCAGTTTCACGATTATTCAGTGATTGTCTGAATAATATTTCTCAAAATAAAATATTAGATTTAAATATCACAAGAAATGAAATGTAAAATTCATTATAATTTGTTATAATATGAACATTAAACGACTCGTAATAGTTTTGAATAATAATTAGTATTATTGTATATTATTTACTACTGGAAGTGATATTAATTGAATATTTTAGAGGTAATTTTGGTAGAATGGAACAATGACGGAAATTAATGCCACGTACTTCGAACCATGTAGACCCGCCTGGTGAGCATTCTAGATGCCTCGAGGGTACTTGGCCTATTCGGCTTCTGATCCCCCGATTGTCCTCCCACATCCTGACTCGATGATAGCTCACCACTCGGAGATAATGCCCCATTCGCACTCTGTTCAGTCTTTTCCTTTTTCGGCTCTGCAATAAAACAATATTTCAAATCAATATTGTTCTTTTGCTAGTCTCCCTTTTGAAAAGATTCAGATGTGACAATTTTTTTTTCCATTACAACATAGATATAGACTTATTCGTTAAAATTTTTAATTGAAAATTTTTTTGTGGACGCAGCTGGAATTGTTAATTCATCAGAAAAAAAACTGAGCAACTTTTTGACAGATCAAATTTCAGTGAAAAGTCAAGCCGCAGTTTTATTATCTGCACTCTCTAGAGCTCTAGTTTTTTTTTCAATCCCACCCCCTTTTCCCCCAGTGTTTGTCTTCCGTTGGAATTTCATTGGCACAAATCCAAATTGACGATAGCCATGCCCCAGAAAACTCGTAAAATTCATCAAACTACATTGGCACGAGTGAGAGGATCAGCGGTCACTCTTCAATATTTTTATTTCTAGTCACTTTTTATCAGCCCCCCCCCCCCCCCCCCCCTGCCACGGTAATTGTCGGCTGTCCCGGGGAATCGATGTCACCCTAACCGCCCATCTGCGGTTCAACCGCGTTAACGAGCCTTGGACAAAGCGACGGGCGGAGGGTGGAGATTTATATACTGCTAATCCTGTGATTCAAACGATCAACTTTGGGACAAAGTACGGATTGGGGTGGGTATTATTGGTTTTCACCCGCAGCTCTGATTCCAGGTTTTTTCCCAGTTTTTCACCACAAAGAAATGCCGGAGGGGACTGGTAATGAATCCAATGCATCGATTGAGAAATTACCGAGAGAACTAAAAAAAAATTATTAATTTTGCTCCAGTAGATCCGGAGAAAATCCCACCTCAAGTTTTATAGATCACTAATCAATCGCTGGATCGTAATCACGATATCAACCCAGAATTGATTGGAGATGATCCCATCGGAGAACCACAGAAATTCTTAATTGAATTCTTAAGAAACAATCCACTTCGCCTGAGTAGATCCCCCAAAAATCACAAATGTTTATATAGATCTTCATAGATCATCGGACCCGCGATCGATGAAGTTGTTTCTCGGTGTAATTGGATGGTTTTTTTTTTAATTCGTCGGTAAATTTTCCGATCTATCGATCGGGATCATTGCCGATTTTTTAAATAAAATTTGAATAATAAAGTAAAAATCCCGAAATTATTTTGCCAACAGAATGGTAAATATTCTGGTAAATATTAACTCCGGTAGCAAAGACTCGTGATTTTATTATTCATTACCACCCCCGTTATTTCGACAGCAATTTGCACCATCGATTGCATCAACTGTTTTATGTTGACGTTAAATTTTCAAAGCGCGGTCCCAGGGGTGAGGCATTAGAGCAGGCGAAAATAGAAGCACCAGCTGGTGTGAAATAATTTTTCCCTTTGAATGAAAATTGAGTTTATCTTTCACTCTCATAATTGTCATCACTGGGGGAATCCGAGGATGCGGGAGGTGATCACATGACGGCCTTGACCGATTTTATGTCACCGAAGAAATCAGACACGTGGAGAAGGAATGGTAAATTTTTCTAAAAATAAATGGCATCTCACTGGCCGCGGAATAGTTATGTTAATTATTCCAGGAATTTCCATGTGAATTGTTTCATTGTACGGATAAACGAATTCCGTGGTTTCGCAAATACTTCACTCACTGGGAAAATTACGTCGATAGATACATCGAACCGAAAAAAACAAACTATCCGAGAAAATTCCCAATGATTGGATTTTAGCAAAAGTGGATTTTTTATCGATTAGATAAATTTCCATTGCGTTGAGTTTTTATTTAATTCGTGAGTGAATGATTTAATTTACCTTTCCGCCCTGGAGAATCCAAAAAGTATTTAAAAAAGAGAGATAAAATCCCAGTGGCAAAATAAATCCGTTGATATTTTGCTAATGCTATCTCCCGCCGAATCGGATTAAATTCAGAATGTTAATCCCTCCCAAAAAATGTCGGGAAATAAAAATACATAAAAGAAAGAGGTGAATTTCAAACGACTGGGCAACATTGCGAATGAGCAGAAAAGAGAAACGTAAAAGTGGAGGAAAAAAATAAAGGAAAAATAAAGGGTATTAAAACAAAACCACCAGCCGTTACTATTCGCCGACAACTTTTTATCCAGCCCCACTACGCAACAGCCATGACGATTAAAGTGTAATTCCCCGTACAAAACTCTTCCTCCACTTTCCTAATATGCACTTTTTCCCTCATTCTAATTCTCAGCATTCTTTTTAGCGCCTTTCAGCATATTTCCACGAGCTTTACGACCTTGATAAAATGAATTCATCCATAATTCAAGCGTTTTCCAACGTCACAAATGGCATCAACTTTTTATTACCCAAGATATATTCCCGAGATTGGAAAGAATTTCTTGGATTTATTTGGGTCATTGTGAGTTAAATCCCATTTTTAAGATGATCAGACTGATATTGATGAATCGATCAGACTCATGATTCGATTCTCAATTTCGATAATTGATGATGAGATAATGAATTTTTCAATCGCAACTTGTTGCAGCAGTGATTTTCAATCCCAACAATATCGTAAGAAGTACGTCATGAACTCAAGTCATTGACAAAGCGCTCCCCCTCCCCCCGAGGATCAAAATATGATTTATGATCATCGTTAATGTCTCACCAGTGAATCTATCTCCCTTCTTGTACCCAGGTGGCAGAAAATCAGCAGGTGGTGTTATAGGTGGTGCTGACTCCCAACACGGTACAAAATCGGATTGTACTTGGCACTGATTGAATGCCCCTGGCAATTCCAAGACTCTTTGTTGCTTATCGCATCGTCTTCGACGTCTTCCACTCGGACCGAACGTCTTTACAGCCGCCAAAAAACTCACCCCGCTCATATCCCCAACTCTATTTCCACGAACTGCAAAAGAATTCCCGCAATTGTCCCCCAATAAATTTATAATTCCAAATCTTAAACCTGAAAATTCCCCGAAACCGGTGTCGTTACGGCTCCCACCGGATAGCCAGAAAAATTTCCGTCGGAAAACACAACGAGACGATCCCTGCACTCCCCCAAATTTCCGAGATATCGCGGAAAAATTATTCCCCCTTAAATACGCCCTTTTAACACGAATCGGCGTACCTAAATAGATGTTTTTTTTTTATTCAACTGAAATGAAAATTCTCCTGGCTATCCAACGACACCCCACTCGACCCCTTTTCTACCCCTCAAGTGAAAAAAAGCACGGAAAATGGGAAAAGCTCATTTTCCGGGGGTCAAACATAACCAAGAAAAATTGGGTGAAAAGGGACCGTTGAGTCGTGGGAAAAATGGTAAATCAGATAATTATTTACAGAGACTGTTCCACGAGTCACGGCTGACAAGAATTGACTGTCAAAGCGTCGGCGAATGCTTGAGCAAAAGCTCATTTTCAAGTGGCATCTGCGCAACTCCGAGCGATGGCGCTGCATGCAACAGACGCGTGGGCGTTTGCGAGGAAAATGGGGGAAAACGTGAAAAGCATTCGTTCTGGATGGGTGAGTAGGGTGGGAGGAGGGGGTGCAGCTGGGAACAGAGAACCGATCGTTACGACGGAAAACCTGAGTTTGAAATGAGAAAAGCTCCACTGCCATTTCTAGAGCTTTTTTTTTTGCAATATAAAGGGATAGGTTTTTTTATGCTGCGAAATAAATTATTGATTGTATTGGGTCTTAATTTTTTGGAAAGGAAATTTTTTGAGCGTCGTTTTGGGAAATTTATGATTTTGAGGCTTTGGGACGGGTTTTATAGGTTTTTCGTGGGGCTAGGAGCCGAGTAAAGGGCTGAGAAGGGTCAGAAGGGATGGTTGAGGGTGAATTTCGTGGGAGGAATATTTGGGTTAGTAGAATCCGAGATAATTTAGTGTTTCGAAAATTTAGAGAAGGATTTGGAGGCAATTTTAGGGGTGATGTTCAGAGGGTCAGGGTCTAATGAGGGCTAGAAATCGTGGGATAATTATAATGAGACGTTGAAAGAATATTACGGTTCAATTCTACAGGAGAATTTCGAAAATTCGTACCAGGGGAGGGTCTCGTCAGGGTGAAATACGATCTTTTAAAAATGTGGATATTTTCTCTTAATTTGATAAGGCAAAAAATGAATTAGAATTTCAATTACAAAATGGGATAACTACGCAGGGCGAGGGACAAATATAATCAGAAAAAAAAAATAAATGTTACGACTTTTTTGTGATAATTTAGCTGAAACAGTCTGCAAACACGCGTTGCCCTTCTGTTTAATTCGATGGAAAATTTTGTAATTCAGCGAATGGGGTGATTTTAACTCCCTCTTAAACACCAGTCCCTCAAGCTGTTGAATTAAAGCCTGAGCTTTTAATTCCACTAATTGCCACGAGCACTTAATCCAACAAGCTCGCATGACCTTGAACCCTCATCCCCAGAAGTACTAAAACCGAGCTCCTCCACCCATTGTCTGAATAATCGTGAATCGATCCACGAGTGCTCGTAAAAATTCACCGAGTCATTGATACCCGTTGGAGAAATGAAAATAAAACAAAAAGCGATGGAATAAAAAAAAAACATCGTCTAGCCAGTCATACACGTGGGGGGTTCATTCATCTGAGCATGACGTCGATGAACTCGTGAATAAAAAAATTCACGGAATATTTATACATCTATTTTGGTGATGTTATGTTGTGGTTTTTACACCCCCTCAACCCCTTCTTCATTTTATATTGCGTGTCTCGTCACTGGGGAAATCAAGGGGTGAATTTTTTATCGACGAGAGCAACGAGGAAGTCAGAGAAATGATCTTTTACCTCTGACGATTTATTTTTTCATTTAGAAAAAAAAATGTCACCTTAATTTTCAAAGGGTTAAGCTGAGTGAAAAAGATTTAACTGATTTTTCTCCGTCACGTTTTTTATTTTATTTAATTGGCGTGAATGATTACGTCGTGTGAACCGGGAAAAACCTGATATTTTAGATTTTCCAACGTCAGATGGAAAATTGATATATTTTTGAGTGGCAGTGAACAATTTATGGGTGTCTATTAATTATTT